ATGGCAAAACCCTGTTTCTACAAACAATGCAAAAATTAGCCAGGCGTGGTGGTGTGCACCTGTGATCCCAGCTACTTGGGAGGCTCAGGTGGAAGGGTCACTTGAGCCCAGGAAGCAGAGGTTACACAGCCAAGATCATGCCTGGGAGACAGAGCTAGGCCCTGTCTCAAAAATAAAAAAGAAAGAAACACACACACACACACAAATAAAATAAAATAAAATCTATAAACACATCCACACATAAAGCAACCCCGTTGGTCACAGTGAATGCCTCCTCCCAGCCTCCCCACTACCCTGCCGCAAGGTTCAAGGTGCCCAGAGGGCTGCATGGTTCCATCCCAATGGCCTGTGCCCAGCATGAGCTCATCAGGTTGCAAGGGAGTGAAGTGGTTCCTGGCTTCCCAGACCTCAGCTGCCACCCAGGATCCCACAGCCTCTGGCAGAAGCTCATGGCTGATTCATTGGATCAGCAGGCAGCTCAAATCCCCAAGAAGCAGTCACATGGTGCAGTCAAATCGCATCTTTCCTTGTCTATATTTTGCATAAATAATAATTTTAAAAAGCTCCTTCCATCCTGTGGAACCAAACCATTGCAGGGACTGCTGTCAGGAATCTGTGTGGAGAGGTCTGAAGGTAGCTCCTTGGGGAGAATTTTCCATTTCTCTAAGGAGCCCAGACAGGGCGGGTGGAGGCGGGAAACTATGCTGGCTGATAACAACAAATTTGCAAATCTGGTGAACAAAGCAAGGGCCAGGACAGGGCACCAGGGCCTGGCCACCTCCCTGTTAAGGGTGGATAGTGGCCTCATCTTTTGACAGGGGCCTGGTGCTTCCTCCTTGAAGCGTAGGTCAAGAGCCACATGACTGGTTCCCAGGCACCATGCCAAGTGCATTGGCAAAGACTGGCATCTCTAGTGGCAAGGTTCTCTCAAGGGGAGCTTCCAGCTCCTTGCTGGTGTTGGGGTCTGGTGTGTGCCCTGGCAGCGAATGGGGAAGGAAGCTGGGGTCAGCTGGGGTCAGCAGGCCCTGGGCTGCCTTAGATGAAGGGGTGCAACTGCAAATCCCACCCAGCTCCCTGCAGGCCTCTGGAGCCCCTCTGGGAGGCTGAGATTCAGGGAGCATTCCTTTAGGGGCAAAGGTCAGTTATGTGGCTGCTAGCCCAGTGGGGAGGCTTGTTCCTGGAACCAGTGGGGCCAGGGCACGATCAGATGCAACATCAGCACCCAGGCCAGAAGGGCACAGCTGGGTTTCCCCTTGAGTCCTCCCAAGAGGCTACAGGGACTGTGCTCCTCTCCCTAGATCACGAGGCTTCCTGTGCCCATTACTGGGGCAGGGGCTCAAGGGAACTCAATGGGCAGGGAGCTCTGAGTCTAGTGGGGACTGAACCTGTGGTGCCTTCTGGAGTCTGTGCTCTGCAGGGAGTGAGACGCCCCTGCTCACAGGCAGTTGCTCAGCCTGAGCATCCTGTCCAGTACTCAAGCACTTCGGAACTAACCTGGACCTTGGGGTTTGGTTAAGGGATGTTGGGCCCTCCTAAGTGCTTACTGTTTGCTGAGCTCACCACATGCCTTGCCACAGCCCTGGGCTGTGGGTGCCCCAAGAGCTCATGCTTAACATCAAGCTGTGTGCTGGCACCTTCGCCCTTCATGCAGGCACCCACTCCACACAGTTCTTGGGTGCCCTGGAGGAAGGGAGTTGGGTGCCCCGGGCCGGGGGTTGACACAGTACCCACTCAGGATTGCTTGCTTTCAGCGGATTGCGAAGGATTAGAGTTTAGTGTGTCTAAGTGGATTGACGGATTATATGATCTAGTTTTAACTGAACTCATCCTCCAAAATGGCCAAGTGGCTCACACAAGATTACTGTAAGGAATCTGCAACTAGCACTAGAAGCCCAGAGCGGTGAACCACAGCAGAAGGGAGAGCTGAGGACTCCGCAGTACTCCCGGCCGAGCTCAGGGCACAGACCTGAACAGAAGTTCACCCTAATATATAAAATAGCAACAAAACTCTTTGAATTTCTCCCACTCTGTGGTTACTGCTGAAGTCTGCCGCGGGTGCCTTGTGCCTGGAGGTACTGGTCTTCAGCAGTGTGAAATCCTCATGGTTGGCAAGGTGTCTAAAACTGAGCTTTCAGAACTGAAGAGAAACCTGTGCGATTTTTTTCCCAGCAATGTTTAAAGTTCTGGCAGTTCAGCCCAGTACTTCTTAGTATTTCCCTAAGCAATGATAAATATTTGGAAAACTCTTTTAAAGTTTCTGCATGACAGCATGAGGCAAAAAACACCTACCACCAAGCAGACACTTATTCTTTCTGCTGCAGGAAACATGGCAGAAACAATGAGCAGTAAATGATCTGCCGACAAACCGAAAGGCATTTCTTTGTCAGCAAACACGTTGGAAGATGTAGAGAAAACACTGCCGAAGATTGGAAGAAACTCGTGTTCGAGCAAATTACCCAGTGTGGGAGGTTTGCTTTGCAGTGGGCTGAAAGCACAGATGTTCCCAACGTGGCTCAGCGGAAGGTATTTGCCAGGTGCTGTTCCAATAATGAAATACACACACTGCTGCTTTCTTTTCTTTCTTTCTTTGCTCTTTTTTTCATGAGCCATTAAAGGGAAGATATAGCAGACAAGATATATCGCCAATAGTAAATGTCTTCTTTAAATAAAAAACAATGTCATACAGGAAACGGTAAAAATGCAACCATGGATGGAATAGCTACTCAGAAAGGATTTTTTCAAAAAGGATTCTGGATGAGAATCAGGGTGTAGGGGTAGGTTCATCTTTACCCCTCACTTGTCTCTTCCCCAGTCTAATCAGCGTAGGGAGGAAGTGGAAGCCTGAAGGGCACACAGAATTTTGCAGGAGGCCACCAGTGGGCTAATTTTATAAAGCCAAGCCTGTAGTGTTACAGTAGAATATTTACTACACTTAGCAAGGAGGGTTAGGCGTGACCATGAAAACTTTCCAGCCACACAGAATGACCTGTCTTTATGGCAAAATACTGAAGAGGGTTGTCCCAAATTTCCCTCCCTCTCTGCTTAACTTTCCCTCCCCACTTATTTTTTTAAAAATTTATCAGTAATTTTTATTGTATGTCTCTGTTTCTGCTTCCCTGTGATTGAGTCATTTTTCCTTGTGAATATTCTTTTTTTAAATTTTAGATTCATGGGTACATGTGCTTGTTTGTTACATGGGTAGACTGCATACTAGTAGAGATTAGGCTTCTAGTGAACCCAATACCCATAGTGAACTTGTACCTGATAGGTAACTTTTCAACCCTCGCCCCCACTCCCACCTCCCTCCTTTTTTTTTTTTTTTTTTTTTTTTTTTTTGAGAGGGAGTCTCCCTCTGTCACCCAGGCTGGAGGCGGTGGCATGATCTCAGCTCACTACAATCTCTGCCTCCTGGGTTCAAGTGATCCTCCTGTCTCAGCCTCCTGAGTAGCTGGGATTACAGGTGCCCGCCACCACGCCCAGCTAGTTTTTGTATTTTTAGTAGAGACGTAGTTTCACCATGTTGACCAGGCTGGTCTCAAACTCCTGACCTCAAATGATCCACCCACCTCCTTTTCCCAAAGTGCTGGGATTACAGGTGTGCACCATCATGCCTGACTAATTTTTGTATTTGAATAGAGATGGGATTTCATGACGTTGACCGGGCTGGTCTTGAATTCCTGACCTCAAATGATCTGCCCCTGTTGGCCTCCCAAAGTGTTAGGATTACAGGTGTGAGCCACCATGCCTGGCCTCCCTCCTTCCTAAAGACCAAAGTGCTTACACTTTTGAGATGACAAGAGCTACTCGTTTTAGGCAATCAGGAAAGAGCTTGAAAAATAAATGTACTTTTCTTGCATCTGCTCCTTCAAGGTAAAGATGTCCTTTCAATGAAAAAAATGAGAAAGTAATCATCTTGGAATGAAAACTCATGCCAAGGAAAGAACATTTTTTTAGAACAGAAGTTTGAGAGTGTTTTCATTAATATATAAATTTTGTGGTCAAAAATGTATGTGACTGATAAAATCCTCATCCCTACACATTTAAAAAAACTTGAAAGCAGATTATATATTTGAATCTGTTTTTTAAAATTTAGATATAATTTCCATATCATAAAATTAATGATTTTATTTTGTTTTTTAGACATGGATTCTCGTTTCCCCAGTCCTACAGCTGTTCACACGTGCAATCAGGGCTCCTCCAATCAGCTCCAATATTTTTGTGACAGCCACTAAAACCCAGGTTTAAAAAAACTACCCTGAGAGCCAGATCTTCAAACTGATGTTTTACAATTTTATTTCAAGGTTTTAGGAAATAAGAAATCATATTGAATCACGGTACTATTTTTTGCTAAAGCAAGATGCTTATTCACACCTCTGTAAATGTACAAATACATTTGTAACACTGTAGAATTTGCTGGAATATGTGGCTGATTTCACCTTTATTTAATTCTTTTCAGTGTTCTCTTGGGGCAGGTGTGGTACTCACTCAGTATGGGTGTACTGGGATGGTGCTCCCAGAATGCTTTTGGAGGGAAGTCAGAAACACCAGAGTCTGCTCCTTCCCCAGCGTTCACCTCTGCCCTCTACCCTCTACCACCCACACCCTCCGCCCAAAAGATCAGACCCTTCTCCTGGCAGCAGTCAGAGTGCTCATTTCCCAACCAGGGCAGGCCACAGCTCTCCTCAAAGACCTCCAACCCCACCCCTCCACCCAGACTTCATGGTCCCCTTTGCCCCCTGCCACTCTCCTACAGGCTTTCCCTCCTTCTACCCACCTACCCACTCACCTACTCTGATCCAGCTACTGGCCTCCCAGAGCACCTGCTGGCACTGCCCCAGGGCCTTGGCACTGCTGTGCCGTCTTGCTCAAGCCCCCACTCTGTGCAGGTCTCTTGCTCAACCGTCTGCTCCTCAGCAGCCCCTCCTGGCTGTGTTGTCCACCCCTCCAGACACCGTGCCCACAGGCACTCATGATTTTTCTTCTAGGAAGTAGTACTGACATTACATTGTCTAACACTTCCTTTTATTATTTATTGTTTTGTCTCCCAGGAAAATGGAGGCCTTGAGGAGGCAGGGGAGTCTTCCTTGTTGAGAAATCTATGCCCAGAGTTCAGATGTCCTGGGAGGGGCCACGGGCTCTGGGGCGGGGCTGCTGCCCTGCACCCAGAGCTCCCCAAGTGCTCCTTGGATATCCTTAACTGGAATGGGCATGGGGGGCTGGGAGCATCTGAGTGGTCTCGACTTGGGGCAAGCGTCTGCCTCATTGGTCCCCTGGTCAGGTGCAGGGTTGTGGAATTATCCCAGTGGGGAAACAGCAGAGGACTGTGTCAAGGCCCCCCGGGGATCCCAACCCCAGAGCCTCCTTGGGTGGGTTACAGGGTTAGAAGGTGGGTTGCAGGGTGGTGGGAAGCTGCTCTTCTCCAGGTGTCCTGATGCACTCAAGTCCTTAGCTGCCAGGATTGAAGCTAAGAACGGGGGGTGGGGGGCACACGGTCTGAGTGTGTCATGTCCCGGGTGGGAAGACATCTCTGGGTCCATGCCTGTTTGGTCCTCCTCAGGCTAGAGGCGGGGTGGGGGCTGGGTGGCAGCCGCATGGCACAAATCTGCAGTCTCTGGGGTTGGGAGGAAGAATCAGATAGCAGCTGGGGGCGGGGTGGGGGGGGGTTGGTCCTGGGAATTCCAGGCTCAGCTCCCCCGGCTCCCTGTGCTTCTGCTCCCTGCGGGGGATACGGAGCAAAGGGCAGCGCTGCACTAGTTGAGTCTGGTTTATCTCTAGGAGGTGAAGGTCCAGCGGCAGGACACCGGTGTGTGTTCTCTGGAAGTAGCAGCTCGGGACGGGGACCAGGGCAGGACCCCTGGAGGTGGGGAGCAGGAGAACTCCAGGGTAGGGCGTTCAGGGAGCAGTGGCCGCCCCCAGCAGCAGCAGCAGGGTCCCAGCCAGCAGAGGCAGCGACTGGGGAGCCAGGTGGGCGGCGTTGCTGGTGCTGGCAGGAGGCGCGGAGTTGATGGTGCCGGCGGGAGAGGCGGCGTCGGTGGTGCTGGCTGGAGGGGCGGCACCCGTGGTGCCGGCGGCGGGCGCCAGGTCGCAGGCCGCGTAGGGATCCAGGCAGGCGGCGAAGGCCATGATGTGTGCTAAGAAGCTCTGCTCCTGCACGCCGTGCACCAGGTGCGCCTGCGGGCCGCGCGCGAACACCGCCACGTCTTCGCCTCCGTGGGTCTCAGACGACAGGGGCACCGCCGCCTGCTGCTTGTAATCGGGGCTCCCTGGTAGGAGGATGAGTGCAGTTCAGGGAAGGCAGGCGGCGTCCCCCTCCCGAGAATGGCCCCATCCCTGGCCCCCTGGCACCCCGAGCCTCCATCCAGCCCCACTCACCGCTCTCGCTCTCGTTCACGTCTGGTCGCACGCTTGAGCTGAACGCGTAGCCTGGGCCATTGCCATACAGGATGGACGTGTAGGCTTTGCTGTCCTGAGCCTTGCTGGGGGCCAGCCCTGTGGGGAGATGGGAGTCCCTGTGGTTGAGCTGAACGCAGCTGTGGGAGTGCCTCCCACGTGCCAGGCATCGCCACTTTTTGCCTGTTCAGGGGTTCGGTCCTCACAAGATCTCTACAAGGCAGGTGTCAGCATCACGCATATTTGACAAAGGAGAAAACCGAGGCTCAGACTTCACCCACATAATTGATGCGGCAGCGCCTGCCCCTCTGCCCAGACCTACCGAAGACGGAGCTCCCTCGCAAGGTGTATCCACCAAAGGAGAAGACATGGGAGTGGTCAGCGGTGACAAGGGTCAGCGTGTCCTCCTCGCTGGTGAGCTGGCCCGCTCTCTCGATGGCATCGTCAAACATGACCGCCTCCGTCAGTGCATGATAAGCTACGCCCTCATGATGACCATGGTCGATGCGGCCGCCTGCAGGAAGGCCAGAGCGGCATGATGCTTGAACCTGCCCTACCCTGCCCTGCCCGCCTTGCTCCACTCCCCAGGGGACACCACACACCCTCCACGAAGAGGTAGAAGCCGAGGGGATTCCTGCTTAGCAGGCGTAGGGCGGCCTCCGTCATCTCCATCAAGGAGGGGTCTCGTGTGGGGTCTCGGTTGATCTCATATTTCGTGTCTCCGGGCTCAAAGAGGCCTGTGGGACAAGGGGCTCAGTGGTGACTGGAAGGCTGGGGGTAGGAGGGTGCTGGCAGACCTGCACACAGGCTCAGAAGGTGCCATCTGAGGCTGTCCAAAGGGTGCCAGGGCAGGAAGGGGGTCATTACCCATGAGGTGGGTCACAGAGGAGTCCAGGGAAGCCTGCATGAGCTCAGTGCGGTTCCACACATACTGGGCACCCTGCAGGGACACAGCCAGGCCTCAGCCCACAGCCCTGAGCCCCACACCTCTGCACTCCCCCTGCTGTGACCCTGCACCCACCAGCCCCCATCACCTGGTGCTTCGCCAGCCATTCCTGCACCAGGTTCTTTCCGTCCAGCCTGATTCCGTTCTGGCTGGCATCACTTGGGTACTCAGGGTCTGGGGTCCCCGTGGGAAACATGTACTTTCGACCTCCGCCCAAGATCACCTGGGGACAGGATTGGGCAGGTGGGTTTGGGGCCTGGCTGGCCCTGTGCCCGCCCCTCCCAATGCACAGCCCTTGGCTCCCCTCCCCAGGCCTGTGGAAAGGGCCCCGCCTGTGCTGCACCATCTGCGTCTCCAACTTCCAGACCCTGCTGGCCCCATCAGGCTATTGGTTGCCTGGATCTGAGCCTGTGCTCCCACCCTCCCCTCTGCCCAGCCCCAACCCTTGGCCTTGGGGGTCTCACGTCAATGTCCATGTTGGAGATGAGCTGCGTGGCGATGTCCTGGCAGCCCTCCTGGCGGGCCGAGGCAGGCATGTCAGCATCTGAGTACCAGTTGCGGTTCACCGTGTGTGCGTAGGTGCCGGCCGGTGAGGCGTGCTGCACCCGTGTGGTGGTCACCACTCCCACAGACTTCCCTGAGGGTGACAGAGGTCAGGATACCCAACACAGGTCTGTGACGCGGCCCTGACCCCGCAGCGGCCCCAGCTCACCTGCCTTCTTGGCCCGGTTCATCACGGAGACGACCTCGTTGCCGCGGGTCGTGTTGCACTGGTTAAAGCGGGCGGCTGCGCTCAGGCCGATGGTCTGGAAGTTGCCCTTGACCCCGCACAGGTAGGCTGTGGCTGTGGCTGCGCTGTCTGGCACCTGTCTGTCCACATTGTATGTCTGGGGACGGAGATACCCTGAGCTCTACTTTGGAGCAGATACACAGACCCCAAGCAGAGCCCTGGTTCTGGTCCTCTGGGATCCTAACTGCCCCCAGCTCCTAACTCAGGCCCCAGCTGTCTGGAGTCCCTCCCTCCTGCCACCCCCCCATATCCTTGACCCCTCCCCTCTACTTGGAGGACTCTGAGGTGGCCCAGCCCTCACCTTGGACAGAGCCACGTATGGGAAGCGGTCCATGGCCAGGGGCGTCTCAGGCCCCAGTTTGCCATTACTCTGCCCCTTTAGGATCCTGGTGGCTGTCACTGTGGGTACCCCCATCCCTGAAGGAGCAGAAATGTGTGAGGCTTGGGCCCCAGGGCTGTCCTGGAACCGCCGACGGTCGGGGTGCCGGGGCTGTGAGGGTTGCGGGCTGGACAGGGCTTGCTTACTCACCGTCGCCCAGGAAGAGGATGAGGTTCTTGGCGACCTTCTGGATGGGCTGAAGCTTCTTGGCAGCATCCAGGGCCTCAGCTGCCTGGCGGTTCCAGAAGCCTGGGTTCTCCTCCTCAACTGGCCAGGGAGAAAGTAGAGATCAGGTCAGCCCGGCTGAGGGGAGTCCTAAGTGCAGAACAGCAGGGGAGCCTCATTACCTGGGATGACGCCCAAGGAGAGCTGCAGCCTCAGGCCTAGCAGCAGCAGCACCCACAGCCCCTGCATGTCTTGGGGGCAGCTGGAGGGAGGCGAGGTGGGGACACCAGATACCAGCTACAGTGCAGGCTACCTGGGTTTAAATCAGGGAAGGACTTTGCCCCTGGCTATAAATGCTCCACATCTCTCCTCACGCCCCTGGTGTCCATCTTGACCCCGCCCAGTCCTGTGACATGAAGCCAAGGTTGCTGAAGGGAAGGGACAGGGTATGGCTCATAGTGCCACTCCTTCCTTTGCCTCATTGGTTCGTATTTCCCAGCTACTGCCTGGCTCTGTTCTGGTGTGAAGAGAGGCGAGACTGGGAACACACAGCCCACGAGCCCCAGAGGAGCATGAAAGGAGGCACGTTCGGTGGCCTGGCTGCCCTGGAACCCACTTGGTGTGTGTGGGTGCCCACACCTATGTCATGAGGGTGCGGGTGGGGGGAAGGGCCAGCGCCCTGGGCCACCCGGGCCTGGGCTGTGTCTTCCAGAGCAGCTTGTGCACTTGAGGTTGACCCCTGTTCCCTTGCACAGGTAGATGGAGCCTGTTGGAGTCTGTTTTCCATGGGCCCTGGGCACACCCAGAACTGTAGCCTCTCACGTGGTGCCCAGAAAGTTTGGTAACCTCAGGCTGAGTTCAAAAGTATTGCTCCAGTCCAGACATCCCACTCTGAGTGTGTAGCCAAAGGGATGCGAGCCAGGGACATGCTCCCAGCATCCATAGCAGCCAAGAGCTGGAAGCAACCCATGTCCATCAACAGAGGGATGCAGAAACCAAACAGGGACCCATGTCCAGTGGAGTATCATGCAGCCTTGAAGAGGAAGGAGCCCCTGACACCTGCTACAACGTGGATGAACTTGAGGACATTATGCTCAGTGAAATACACAATGCCAAAGGACAAATACTCATGAATGCACTTCTCTGAGGTCCCTAGAGGAGTCAAATTCATAGAGACAGATGTGGAATGGAGGTTACCTGGGACTGGGGGAGGGGAAATGGGTTAGGATTAGGGTTGGGGTTGGGGTTAGAGTTGGAGTTTAACGGGGACAGAGCTTCAGGGCTGCAGGATGAGAACGTTCTGGGGATCAGCTGCACAACAATGTGCGTGTACTCAACGCGGCCACCCTGCACACTTGGAAACGGTGAAGGAGGTGAGTGTGACGAACTGTGTTTTGTAGCACAATTCAGAAATTGGTCCGAGAAGAAAAGGCTCCTCCAGCTCCACCCGCCCCTGCTCAACACAGCAGCCCTCCTCCACTCAGGCCTGCTCACCCCGAGCCCCAGGCTTGGTCCCCAGAGCCCAGGGGACCTCACCTGCTTCCCAGCCTCTGCCTGTCCCACCCCACTCCCCACCACGCCCATATGCCTCCCCTCCGGCTGAGCTTTCTGGGGTTCTCCTGCCTGCACCCTGCCTGGCTTCCCACTGTTCTGGAGCTCTCAGGGAAGACGTCACCTCGTGGGGCTTTCCTGCCCTCTGCTAGTCACCCTCCTAGTTCCCAATACCTCCTGCTTCATCTGCTGAGTTAGGAACGTTCTTGGCTAAAGGTCAGAGGAAACTCACTAATGGGCAGGCGATTAATTAATTCATTGATTCATTCCAAAGTCAAGGTGAGTCAGGTGGCTTTACAGCCACCCTGAGTTTCATGTTTAAGTTGGAATTTTTGACAGAACTACAGATTCACATGTAATTTTAAGAATAATACAATCCAGGCATGGTGGCTCATACCTGTAATCTCAGCACTTTGGGGGATCACGAGGTCAGGAGATTGAGACCATCTTGGCTAACACCATGGAACCCCCATCTCTACAAAAAAAAATATAAAAAATTAGCCTGGCATGGTGGCAGACACCTGTAATCCCAGCTACTCAGGGGGCTGAGGCAGGAGAATCGCTTGAACTTGGAAAGCAGAGGTTATGGTGAGTTGAGACCCCCACCACAGTATTCCAGCCTGGTCAATAGAGTGAGACTCCATCTCAGAACAAAAAAAAAGGAAAAGAAATGCCTTGTGGACTGTGCCTAGTTTCACTGCCACCCTCCCTTTGGCATCTCCCCTTCAACAAGATAAAGCACGCTTTAGCTCAGAGCGTCTAAGGACACTGGGAACACGGCTTTGGTTTGTTTGGAATACACAGTTGCCTTCCGTTTGTGGTAGGAGATGGTGGTCTTCCGTGTTTTGTAGTTACAAGTTTCCTTTTCTAATAGATTTAAGGAAAAACTGGGCTTATGTAGCGAACAATGTTCAGTAAATAATAGCACAGGCAGTAAGTGGCTATGGCAAAAAGCTGTCAAGGTGATACGTGACCCGCTGAGTGCTGAGAAGCATGGATTTAAAAGAAGTATATTAAATAGCCTTTGGGTCTGAGCTGAATCGCTCTCTCCATCACTTACTGGGTGTCCTTCAGAACGGAACCTCTCCAAGACGAACGAGAAGCGTGAGAGTCCTGTCAGCCTCAAGAAACAGAGGGAGGCTCTCTGAAATGATGGAGTTTAATAGGGAATCAGCAGCAGCCCCGCACGCGGAGCCCTGGCCTTATAAACCAGGGGCGCATCACGGAGGGGAGGCAAGGGGGGCTTTGAAACACCCAAGGAGCAGTGTATGGTCTGTTTTTTGTTTTTGTCTTTTTTTGTTTCTGTTTTGTTTTTTTTTTTTCAATTGCTCTGTTGCCCAGGCTGGAGTGCAGTGGCGAGATCTCAGCTCACTGCATCCTCTGCTTCCCGGGTTCAAGCAGTTCTCCTGCCTCAGCCTCCTGAGTAGCTGGGATTACAAGCAGTCACCACTGCGTCCTGCTACACCGTTGTTTTGAAAGGAAGAGAGCCCTGGTTCCAGGGGCTTATTCCAGGAGCGGACATCAGCAGACACCGCGTATCAGGCAGGTGTTCCTATGTATCTGGCTGGCTGTCCTTGTGACTCAGGTAGCCAGCTGCAAAGTCCTGGCAAAAGGTCTTGTTACTGGCATCTGTGCCTCAGAGCCCTTCCCAGAGGCTTCATAAGTGCACTGATCGTAGGCAGGTGTGCAGTGGGGAGGGTGCTCCTTCATAACCCCCCGCCTGCATTATTTTGTTGTTGCTCTTAGGGGTGGACAAAAGTGACTTCTTTCTGATTCTAAAAACTTTCACAGAGGCTGGGTCTCCGGGCTGTTGTTGGCTTGATTAGTGCAGGGCCTGCTGCAGAGTTAACAGGGGGAGCAGGCAGAAGAGGTGAACGCTGACCTTTATTAACACGAGGCAAGCCCTGAACGTCCTTGAAACCCCGTTTCCAAGCTGAGGATCTGCACACCACACAGTTGGCCAAATGGTCACGGAAGTAGCCCCTTCCTAGAGCACAAATCTCTTCAATTCTTAATTAAGGGCTGTGTAGTCAGGACCTCCTTCTGGTGCATCCCACCTACCAGGGAGGGACATCCAGGCACTCCTCACCCACAGGAGAACTTGGGTCAGGTATCTGGAGTGGGAACCAGAAGGGACTGTCCCACCCCCAAGGCAGAAGACACAGCCATCTCCTCCCCATGTGCTTCCTGGGAGGTCTCTCAACAGGCCGTGGAGCCCCCGCAGCAGCACGAGCAGGGCCTGGGGCCTCAGCCTGCAGGAAACTGGGGCACAGGAACTGGGGCTCAGCGAAAGGGGAGCTCCACCAGGCACCCGAGCCCTGATCTGGCCACCCTTTTACCCCCTGGCAGTAGTCACAGTGGCAGGGGTGGCTGGCAGGTGGGTCCTAGTGCACGGCTGTCCCCTGAGAGTGAGGGACAAAAGACAACTCTGCCCTGAAAGGTGCTTCGCGAGTGTATTTGGATGTGTGGAAAAGAAAGTTTACAAAGTCAAGGGTGCTGCGATTGTGTTTAGTGGTTTAACTTTATCTTACATGGCAGGAACCGGGAGGACAATTGTATTCCAGTAGCACCCTGGTGAGCTGAAAACCTGTGAATCAGAATACACTATGCGAGAGCTTTTGTTCCATCCTCTATTCTGCTGCTTTTTAAATATCTGGCTAAGTGCTTTCCAGAACTGAGCAATGTACAATTGATACACATTAAAGAATGCAACACAGCTCATGGACGAGGTTGAGCAAAACTGTTTTTACGTAAAATAAATTATTAAAATGGATCAGTTTCCCCCTCAAATGACTTTCTATCTATGAAAAAATAAATAGGCTGGACGTGGTGACTCATACCTATAATCCTAACACTTTGGGAGGCTGAGATGGGAGGATCACCTTAGCCCAGGAGTTTGAGACCAACCTGGGCAACATAGTAAGACCCCACCACTACAACAAATTTTTAAAACTAGCTGGATATGGTGGTACTTGCTTGTATTCCCGCCTAGTTGGGAGGCTGAGGCAGGAGGATCTCTTGAGCCAGGGAGGTACAGGTCTCAGTGAGCCCTGATGGCCCCACAGCACCCCAGCCTCCGAACTCCAGCCTGGTCAACAGAGGGAGATCCTGTCTCAGAAAAACAAAAGCTGAAAAACCAACAATATAAATAAGCAAAATTTCCCCCAAACCATAAAAACCCACAATTAAAGAGAAGGTTCCAAGAGATGGTCTTACAATATGGTTTCAAATTGGGAACCCAGACCCAGGCCTGTGCAAATTGATACTAATCATTCCAAGAATCACCCCCTTCTCCAGAACCTTCTTTATGTGAGAGGCATCACACCCTGTTGCCTCCACCAGGGCTCAAATCTTTAATTCACTTCGGTCCTCCCGACTCCCATCCCGACTGCCATCAGCCCCTGAATTCTGTGATTCCAACCTAGGACCCACTCTGGTCCGTGACCAGCAAGGACTGAGGCAGGCTTTTGTGAAGCACCAACCGCGCTGCAGACCTCTCTGGAGAAAGCCCATCCCCACCTGTGACGTTTGCGGCCAGTCCCCGCCAGGCCTCTCTGGACAGCTGCACTGTCCCCTCAGGCCTTCCTCCTGGTACCTGAGTGATCACAGCCCCTCCTGCCTGGCCTCCAGTTTCCTGGGTGGTAGAGCCGCTGGAGTGGCATCTGGTGGTGCCTCTGCACAGGCCTCGCCTCCTCTAGTGCCCAATTCCCAAGCTTCATGCCTGTCCCTCCCTTCTGCGGCCTGACATCCTCCTTAGGGGCCAGGAGGCTGCCACCCCAGACTG